GGAAGGAAGGAAGGAAGGAAGGAAGGAAGGAAGGAAGGAAGGAAGGAGAGAGTGAGAGAAAGAAAGAGAGTGTGAGAGAGAAAGAAGGAAGAAGAAACAAATACCCCCCCCCCCCAAACCAAGCAGACAAAAAAGCCAAAACATGAAGCTGGAACCACACAACAGAGTTTGTTTTGGTTCTCTTCCTTGTACGATGTACTCTGAGTCCATCCACATGGCAACAGTGCTTTATTCTTTGTTGTGACCAAGTCCTATCCTGCTATTTGGCTCCATGTCATTTAGTTTCTCTGCTCATCCAGCCATGGAATCTGAGCTTGTGGGTCTTGGCTATTAGGATATTGGTGCAAGCTTTCCATGGGGATCATAATTTCATTTCCCTCGAAGTGTTTCCTGTTTTAATTGCTTCTGATTCGTTTCTAGCCTTGTTTCAGTTAGCATTTTTAATTGCAAATAAAAAAGTAGAATATGAGATAGCTAAAAAAACTGGCAAGATGGCTCACTGGGTAAAGGTGTTTGCCACTAAGCCTGGTGGTGGGTTCTAACCTGGATCCACATTGTAGAGGGAGAGCTACCGTTTGCCCTCTGATTACTTATGGTGTGTCCTCCTTACTAAATAAATAGAGCCAGGAGGTAGTGATGCAAGCTGTTGATCCCAGCACTTGGCATAGGCAAGCAGATCTCTGTGAGCTCAAGGCCGGATCAAGTACCAGAACTGCCAAGGGTATACAGAGAAACCCTTTCTCAAAAAACCAAAATAATGATGATGATAATAATAATAATGTACTGCTTGTGTGTTGACATCTTTTGCCAAATTAAAAAGGAACCTGTAGGAAGGACAGAGGGTGAGCCTCTATTTCTTTGTTTCTTTTAATTTAATTTCTTTTAATTTCTTAAATTGTGTGTGTGTGTGTGTGTGTGTGTGTGTGTGTGTGTGTGTGCGAGCACCCATGTGCAAGGTCAGAGAACATTAGGCGCCACTCTCAGGAATGCCACCCATTCCTTTGAGGTAGTGTCTCTCTTTAGCCTGGAACTCCTCAGTTTAACTAGACTGGCTACCAGTGAGCCTCAGGGGCCACCACACCCAGCTTTTTAAACATTGGCTCCAGGGATCAAACTCAGGTCCTCCTCTTCCAAGACAAGCACTTTATTGACTGAACCACCCACCTGCCCCCACTTCGCCAACCCCCCGTCCCTTTTGCAGTTGGCCACACAAGGATCCCTCAGAGTGAGACGGACAACCCACGTAAATCTCAGAGTCTACAAATGGAAGCCAGGTACTTTCCCAGGCCCTTGAATTGTGCAAGGCGTGGGTAGCGCTTGGCAAAGGATCCCTCCCCGCTTTGCAGCTGGGGAAACTGAGGGTGAAGATCACTGATCTGTACCTTGAGGAAATTCCGGAAGAGGAGCCGTTGGTAAGTCACCCACGCCTGGACGGTGGATTAGTGGTGGTGATGGGGTGTTGACGGCACACCTATATTCCTGTGGCTCTCCTCCCCCACCCCACCCCCGGGAGTGCGGTTGGGGATTAGAAGTTCACACAGGATGATGTGAATCCTGACTGCATCTGGTCTGGCATGACTCACCGACAGGACCCTTGACTGCTAGGAAGGTCCTGGCCTTCCTGGGGGCTCATGGTGCAGCTGGGATGTACTGCACATCATTTGACACTCCAGCTGGGCTTCCAGCCAAGCTGTAAGTCAAAGATTTTGTAAATTGGATCATATTTTAGAGAAAAGATAAAAGAGAGAGAGACTGTGACTCCTCGGGAAGAACCCGTGCACGAGGTGGTAATCAGGCCAGATTTATGATTTCTGTAAAGATGGAGATCAGAGATAAATGTCAGCCAGCCAGGCATCCTGTGATAATTAATTAAGAGTCTGCTGGAGTCATAGGTGTGAACCTGGCTTTAAATGGCTTTTCTTCTTATTAAAATCTCCCAAAAGCAAATCCAGCAACACAGTGTTTTCCAGGGTAGGTGTTATTTATGCTCCAGTTAAAAGTGGGGAAACTGAGGTGGGGGGGGCTATAAATGACTCACCCAGGGTCACAGAGTTAAGTAGTGGGACTGAGATTCTATGGGCCAGAAAGTCAGGAGTTGCTTCTGTTCATTCTGGAAGACAGTGAAGGCGGGACGTCAGCCCTGAGGTCAGACTGTCTGTGGAGAATAACAATCCTGTCCTAAACCTGTCCCCAGGCTACCAAAGATGGTACAGAACCTACCTCAAAAGATGGCTGGGGATACGGCTCAGCTGGTAAAGTGCTTGCTTTGCAAACATGAGGACCCAAGTTCAAATCTCCAGAACTCCCATTCCCAGTTCTGGGGAGGCAAAGACAAGGGGATCCTTGGCGGTCACTAGCAGCCAGCCCAGCCCAAAGGGGAAGCTCCAAGTTCAGTGTAAGACCCTTTTTCAGAACACAAGATGAACTACACAAGTTGCCTGCTAGCCTGTTTGTGTGCACGCGCACACACACACACACACACACACACACACACACACACACATCACCACTACACCACACCAAACTCCCATGAGATTTCTGGGACATTCAAATGAGAAAATGTAAACACACCTAGCACACAGCAGGTACACAATTTGTGTGTCATGAAGCAGTCTTTTTAAACTGCTCGGAGTATGCAGCATGTCCGAATTCCCAATAGCACTGTATGCTATATTACAGCTACTCCCTGCAGGGCTTTGGACTCTGAGCTTCGGTTGTGGACAGAGGGACCTGGGCAGCATCCATCCCACAAGGCTGCAAAGATGAAATGAGCTGCGTAAGAGAGAGGGCTCCTCTGGGCCCGTGCAAATTGGCAGCCCTTGTTATTATATGCTAGAGAAGCTGGTGTCTGTTCTTTTGAGCCATCCTCGACACGGCCCCAGGATGCAGCTTCTCTGGGGATGATGCTGAGGTCAGAGTGACCTGGGACCGGTCAGAGTGTAGTCAGACTCTGTGTTTTGTTCCATCTGATACCAAGTGTCATGGTTTGAATAGCTGTGGCCTCCATAGCCTCATGTGTTTGGATCCTTGGCCACAGGGAGTGGCACCGTAAGGAAGTGTGGTGTTGTTGGAGGAAGTGTGTCACTGTGGAGGTGAGCTTTGAGGCCATATATGCTCAGGCTACACCCAGTGTAGTTCAGTCTCCTGTTGCCTTCGGATCAATACGTAGAACTCTTGGCTACTCCAGCACCGTGTCTGCCTGCACATCACCATGTTTCTCATGATGATGATAATGGACTAAACCTCAAAACTGTAAGCCAGCCCCAGTGAAATGTTTTCCTTTATAGGAGTCTTCACAGCAATAAAACTTTAACTAAGACACAAAGCATGCCCTGAAGATGATCTGTTCCTTAGCTGTCTCTGTGGATCCCTCTTCTCCGATTTTATTTGATGGGTGCCATCCCATGCGTAGGGGATGAGACTTATCCTAACCCCAGGGTGAAATATACAATTTGGAGTCTCTTGGAACGCAGACAATAACAGGACATTTGTATGTCTCTTGGACATTAAGTCAGACATTAAAAGGACATGTATAAAATGCCCCCACAAGCTTATGCATTGCAAGCTTGCTCCCCAGCTGAGATAGCTATTTGGGGGCACTGGGGAATGGTCAGGAGGTAGGGCCTGGGTGGCACAGTGGACCTTACTGTCTGTGAATTTAACAGCCTCTACCACATAAGCCCACCACCATCATCCAAGTAGCCGCACTGTGATGGATTAAAACCCCCAGGAACTGAGCCAAAACAAACCTTCCCTTTCTTGAATAGTTGGGTTTGTTTGTTTGTTTGTTTTTGTTTGTTTTTCAGGCATCCTAGGTCACAGCCATACAAAAGCAACTATGAGGACCACAGGTGCCAGGAGACTCATCCAGAAGGTGCCTAAGAAAGAGAAGGGTGTGTGTGTGGGGGGGGGGTTTGAGATGGGAGGAGTCTGGGACTGACCAGGAAGGTGATGGTCACTGTTGGTTGTCAAACTGACAAGATGGAGGCTCACCCATGAGGCAGGCCTCTGAGCACACCTGTAAGGGATTTTCTCCATTAGGCTAACAGAAATGGGAAGATCCACCTCAAATGTGGATGGCACCCCTTTCTGGTGGCCCAGATATAATGAAGCCTGAGGGGAAGGCCTTTTGCTTTTTGCTCTCTGCTGGCTTGCCGTGTTAAGTTCATCTGCCTTGTTACCACCACAGCAGCTGCCACTGCTGCCAACACCCTCTATCCGGCCATCAGAACCCAGTTTCTTCAGCCTTCCCACATGGACTGGAGACTAGTGATGTGATGGGATTTTTCCAGACCTGCAGCACCCGATCGGGACTGCTGAAGCATCTAGCTTCATGGACTGAGTAGTCGTAGGGTACTCAATCTTTCTAGGGTGAGACAGCCACTGTTGGGCTACCAAGACCATGTTGTGCAAGCCACCGTAGTAGATCCCGCCCCCTCTATGAACTCATCCTGTCAGCTCGAATCCTCCAGAACCCGGATTAATGCAGACACTTAGAGCCCACACTCTAGGCTGGAGAGCTGTCCTTAGTGCAGCAGCGTCTCTTGCAGGGGAACACAGTGTCATGCCTCCATAGTCTCTGAGGTGCAGTCAGTGATCCAAGCCAGTGAGAGTAGTCCCTCTCCTCTGCGAGTGCCTGGTGTGGGTGAGTATTTGTGACACACCTGTACCAATGAGATAAATGGGGAAGTCTAGTAGGGGGCTTGCAGGAAGGTGTTCTTCCTTTTCCTGTCAGTGTGGCTGTATGGGAACGTGGCAGCTGGAGCTGTGGTGGCCACTTTGCAGTCCTGAAGGGAAGCCAGTGCACTCAAGAAGGCAGCACAGGGAAAGGAAGAGACAGGCTTTTGATAATATTAACCATCCAGGCTTCTCCCAGCCCTACACGATGGAAAACCCCCTCCCGTTTAAGGGATGTGTTTCTATGTAGCAAGTTCCCCACAAACAAAGCATTTCCTCACAGCAAATGTGTCTCTGGGAATTAGTCCTGCAGGAGCCGCTCAGCTGAAGGTTGCCTTCCACATGGAGCCACCTCTGCAATTACCAAAGCTGGATGGGGCTGGAGTACCCTTTCCCAGGATGGCGCCTTACATAGTTATTTCCAGGTAGGGGTGGGGCTGTCAGTTCCTGACTGTTTGGGCTCCCCTAGAGGACTGCTTGAACATCCTCACACTTTGGTGACCAGCGTTCCAGGGAGAAAGTGACCTAGCAACGGAAGAAGAGGCCTCGGCGTTTCACAGTTCTGGTTAAAACATGAATGAAAACCCAAGTGCCCATCAATGAACGAGCGAATACCTAAAATGCGGTACATCCATACAGTAGAATACTATTTGGCCATGGAACGCAACAGCGTACTGATAATGCTCTGTCAGAAATGGGCCTTGAGGGTGTGCCAGGCTAAAGGAGCCAGACACGACATTGTTTCTATTCACTGCAAATGTCCCAGATACACAGAAAGCAGATTAGGGGTTTCCTGGAGCTGTGGTGCAGACCGAAAGGAGAAGTGACAATGACAGAATATTCCAGAATTAGCTAGTAAGGGGGATTGCACAATCTCCTGAATACATTTAAAAGCACCGCGTTGTGCCGCGCCGCACGTGTGTATTAGAGTTACTTGTGACATGAATTCTAACTCAACTGAAAAATCAACCCTTTCAATCCCGCATGTCTGGTCACTCACGATCTTTACTGTGTAGCGCTGTGTTATAGTGAATGTTCTCATCTGTCCATCCTCTGGTTGGTGGGCCTTTGTGTCCGTTCTCACGTGTCTTCGTTCCCCTGCCATGGGTTCTCCTGCATGTCCTTGTGTGTGGTGGTTTCTCCAGGGAGCCTGCTGCGGAGCAGGGGTTGCGGGGACGCAGGGTTTCTGTATCTTCTGCTTCAAGCTTCGCTTTTTAGAACTCCTTTGAGCCCAGAGAGACCAAGCGGAGAAACAGCTCTGCCTCCCCGCTTGGCCCTGCGAGCCCCCTGAGGTCTCAGAAAATAGGGCAAGCAGAATGGAAAACAAATCTCGCCAATCAGGAGGTGCGCGGCTCTCCCCCACCCTGGCGCTCCGAGACCTGCTGGACGGCAGCAGGGCCTCCCCCATCAGAAAGCATTAATGAATATTCACAGGATTCATTAAACATTTCCCTGCGTGGCTGAGCAAAACAGTGCCGAAACCCCCAAGCCATTAACAAAAAAGGGATGGAGAAATATGACGGGGGCTGGGGCCCAGGCTGCAAGAGCCTCCGGCCAGAAATTGATTTTTAGTTTTGGCACTCGACTTAGTTGCATGCTTGCGCTGGTGTTTCAGAGGGGTCTGTGTCCGGGATCTCCGTGACTCTGAACAGCCAATCCTGCTTGACCACCTCGTGTTAAAGCGCTGTTTCAGATCGGTGCAGACACACACCATGGTGCCTGGCCTACATCCATGTTTACTTGACACTTCTGGGCATCCAGGGTTTCTCTAGGAACCCCCTTGTTGGATGGCTACTCAGTGGTGTCGTGCAAGTACTGTGACCCCACTTGACAGATAAGGAAACTGAGACCCATGCATGGCTACCGGGCAGTGTCCCAGACTCCTTGTACCAAGACCAGACCACTTTATTCCTTAAGCTTTGATTGGCCAGGATGCCTTGAGCACAGCAGGACAGTACCTCCAAACTGAGAGCCCAGCGTAAGAATACAATGGTTACGGGACATTACCGGGGTCTGGAGGAGCCTCTTGGCCTGTCTCTGTAAGTACAGGTCTATAAGGAATCCTGGGGAAACAGACAGCCATGTGCAGAGAGGATCCTCTCGTGCCCGAAGTGACAGGAAGCATTAAAGTACAGCATCACGCTTGAGCGTGGCTGGACCAGGTGATGGTGAACAGATTGCTGTGAGAGAATTGACAGGACAGGGTGGTGTGCTGGGGCCCTGAGGAGTTTCTACTCTCAGAAGGCTCTGGCTGTGACTGCCTGGAAAAGATGGGTTCCCTTCCATGCCCCTGGTATTTTACCCTGAGCAGGAGGAGAAGGAGGGAGAGACAGAGTGGGGAAGGACAATGATAGCAGCTTTGACTGAGTATCTCCCACGTGACTGAAGCTGGCTAAATGTTCTCCACAGATTCTGTCTCCTCAGCCTCATGTGGCCTTTTAATCCCCATTTTAGGACAAAGCAACCAAGGCCCAGCCAGGGTCTGACGTGTGTTGGTCACCTACACAGCACATTCCCTGGCTACTTAGTAGCTTGAAACCTTAGGTTGGGGTCAAGAGAGGTTGTCCTAGCTCAGATGTCTGAAGAAGTCAAAGGCTAGAGGTGACCTAGACTGGCCATGGTGAGAAGCCTCAGTGGGGTCTGGGCTCTGACTCTTCATTACTCTCTGCTGCTCTGATAACCACCATGACCAAAAGCAACTTGGAGAGAAAGGGTTTATTCCAGCCTCCAACTCTCAGGTCATAATCTATCACTTGAAGGAAGCCAGGGCAGGAATCTGGAGGCAGGAGCTGATGGAGGGGTGCTGGTTACTGGCTTGCTCAGCCTGCTTTCTTATAGAACCCAGGACCACCAGCCCAGGGATGACCCCTCCCACAATGGGCTGGGCCCTCCCCCAGCAATCACTAATTAAATGCCCTGTAGCTGGATCCCATGGAGACATTTTTCTCTGTTGAAGTTCCTTTTCCCAGATAATTCTAGCTTGTGTCAAGCTGACAAAAACCCAACTACCCTCCTAGTGGGTCTGCTGATGGGGCCGCTGGCTGGTTCTTGTTCCAGTAGAACTTTCCCAGGATTGGCTAATTGTGCCTGTCATATGGCCTCTGGCTTCCTCAGTATGAATGACCCAGAAGAGCAGGCAGAAGGCCATGGTGCACTGAGCGACCCAGTCCTGGAAGAAGTCTCATTATGCCTCAGTCACATCCCTTCCTTAGAAATGAGTCACCAAGGAGGGTGACTTCAGGCCATCTGTAAGAGGAGCGAGGCGAGGGCTCCACTTTAGATGGGAAACACCCAGGGCTCCTGTGGGGAAAGCCAGGGCTTCCCTGACAATCTTCTCCACAGAGATGGGCATTCGGCATCTTCCTCTGTTGCTCTCTGCCCTTTGTTCTCCACCTTTTTTTTAAAAAAAAAATGAATTTTTAAAATTATTTTTTGCTTATGTGCTCTTGAGTGTGAACCATCTCTCCAGCACTTTACCAGTGGTTTTTGTTTTAATGTACATTGGTGTTTTTGCTTGCATGTGTATCTGTGTGATGGTGTTGGCTCTCTTGGAACAGGAGTTATAGACAAAGCTGCCACGTGGGTGCTGGGAATTGAACCTGGGTCCTCTGGAAGAGTAGACAGTGCTCTTAACTACTGAGCCATCTCTCCAGCCCCCATTTACCAGGTTTATTAAGACAAGATCTCACTGAACTGTTGGGGGCTGCTCTGAAGCTTTATTTTGATGCTAATTACTGGCCCTGAAGATCTGGTTACACCTATCCTGGTTTTGTAAATCTGCCTAAGACATTTTACCTGATGGGTTGATTAAAGGCCTATACCTGGGCAGGGCAGAATGGGGTGGTGTGGCTAAGGTTCCTGGGTTTTGGAGTTCAAGAGAATCACAGGAAAGAGGCGGGCAAGAGAGGAAGAAGGAGGACACCACGATGGGTTAGTGTGGAGAAGGAATCACATGGGCTTGGAGAAAGGACTCCAATAATGGTATATAAAGACTCAGATGAAGAATAAAAGCAAGTATAAGATTATAATGAGGATGGTTAAGGTGGATGGCAGAGGATGGGGACTAGGAAGTGGACGGTGAGGTTATTGAAACAGCATAGGTAAAATACCTGCCTGGCCCAAGGTAAATAAGGCAATTGTAATCTAACAGGTGTCTCTTTCTTATTATTTGTAATAACAGGTTAAATAATAAGGTCATGATAATCTTAGGGCTAATAATAAACATAGTATAGTCCAACACTCTTAATATTTACTACAATCCTGAACCTTGAGCTCACTATTCAGAAGTACCTGGATCCTTCCTCCACAGCCCCATCCAGGAGTTATAGCCACACACTGAGAGATCTTCAAATAAAATGTTGGTGGTCCTCATGATGAGCAGCAAGCACGTTACCCACTAGACCATCTCCCCAGCCTGTCTTAGAGCTTGGTGGGTGTTTGCTGTTTTTGAGACAGGGGTTCACACACCCTAGGCTAGCCTTGAACTCCTGTATAAATGAAGAGGATCATGAATTTCTGATTTTCCTGCTTCTACCTCCCAAGTTCTGGGTCACAGGGATGCATCACACACCCAACTCTAAAATAAATACTTACTGAAATTAGTTTAACTCTCATTATCTATCTATCTATCTATCTATCTATCTATCTATCTATCTATCACCTATGTATTTATCATCTATTAGCTATCATCTATGTATCTTTATCTATTATCTATTTCTATCTTCTATATATCTGCTCTTACATCTATCCACTATGCTGCTATCTACATAGCTCTCTACCATCTGTCAATCATCTATTATCTATTGGTCTGTCAGTTTGGGGGCCTTGCACTTGCTAGAGCCGTATTTTTATCCTGTCACAGGGCTATACCTTCACCCTCTCTTTTTAGTTTTCTGTTTGGTTGGTTTTGTTTTGTTTTTGGGTTTTCGAGACAGAGTTTCTCTGTGTGCAGCCCTGGATGACCTAGAATCACCCTGTAGGCCAGGCATGTGCTGCCACTGCCCAGCTTCCTTTTCAGTTTTAACATGAGGTTATTAGAACACTTTGCATCACTACATGGCTCACTGTGTACTCCCACTGACAGTACAGCACTCCGATTTCGTGAATGGATCCGAAGTCTCTATATTCTTGGTGCTTAGTGTCCAAAGAGGGCAGCTTTCAAATGATTAATCAAAAGAACTTGCTGAATAATGACCACAGCACAGCATAAGTCAGGGAGCTGTGAGTTTCAACCAAAGAAGTAGCCCGGGTTGATTGACTCTAGAGCCATCGTGGGGTCACGGAGGCAGGCATGTGCACCTGAGATGAGCAGTAGGTTGAGGCTCTGTGCCAGGGGCAGGCTGAATCCTTGGGTTCAGGCCAGGGCAGGTATAGTGGGGCTGGCTTTTGATGTGCATAGGAGGCACCCGGGCCAGCTGCCTGTTGTCAGGTTGGCACTTGCTGCTTCCCGCTCTGCAGTACCGGGCTCCAGAAGGTGTTCTCTGGGTGTGACTCCCAGAGCGGTGCTGGGAATCTCATGAGTCTGCAAAAGCCAGCCAAGGAGGAGTGGCCTTGGTTCTGGCTGAGGGCTGACTCTGGACCCTGGATCCCAAGCATAGACCAGGGCAACAGTGGTCACTCATCAGGCTCAGCTTACGCCAGCTGGGGTTGCTATCTTGTGACATTGGTGGGTGTTCACATATTCTCAGGGGATCCACAATCCCTTATCCACATAGCTCCAAATGCTCTCACACACAGCCTTATTAAAGACATATGATCAGGGTCCTGGTCCACTGCAAGACTAGAGCAGAGACAATGGAGCAGCAACCCCTGCAGCTTCCCTAAGGTCTTCCAAGTGGATCTGCTGATTCTGGGTAGCCAGACTACTTGAATTGTTAATAGATTCCTCTTTCCTCACAGGGTATCTGAGCCCTAGAATCCAGGACACCCATGGCCAGAACATCAGTGCCTGAATTTCCTCTGCAAACTGGTAGGTGATGTGACCTTGGGGAATGCCCACCCTTATCTTCCCTCTGCCCCAAGGACAAGCACTTGCTCTTGTCTTAGAACTCCATCTGCCTCTGGAGAGCCCCAGGGATGTTCATGAACTGGCTAGCTGGAGCCGCAGCTAACCCCTCTCTAAGGTATGCAAATAGGAAAAGTGAGCAATGCAAGACAAGTGGACGAGCATAGAGAGGCTAGCCTGAAGTCCCGGTTCTTGAGAGGCTGAGGCAGGAGGATCACAAGTGTGAGGCCAGCCTGAAAGCCTGGCTTACTTTTAGAATGGGACCTTGTCTCAAAAAATAAAATCAGCTGGCCCTAGTAGTCCAAGCTGGTAAATCCTGATGCTTGGATGAACAGTTAGGGTGAGGTGGGAGAATTGCAAGTTCAAAACCAGCCTGGGCAATTTAGTGTGGCCTGGTTTTAAAATAAAAGAATGAGCACGTGTATAAGCTGTACACATCAGGAGATGGAGGCAGAATTATCAAGGTTACCCATTGCTCCAGAGCAAGTAGGAGGCCAGCTTGGGGTATATGAGACCCTGCCCTGTCTTAAAAAAACAAATATGAAGCTAGCAAGATGGGCTCAGTGGATAAAGGCACTTGCCATCAAGCCTGATGACTCAAGTTCAAATCCATGACCAACATGGTACAAACACAGAATAGATCTCGTGTATTGACCTTCGACCTTCAGTGTGCAACACAGCACGTGCACGCCCACTATATACATGCTAATTTTTAAAAATCAAATATAAATAAATAAACGAAGCGAGGGATATAGGTCACTGGCAGAGCATTTGCCTAACCTGTTAAAGGCCCCTGGTTCAATAACCAGTATTACAAAAAAAGAAAATGAAACAATAAAGTAATCCCAGGATGACTTCAGCCGCTGTCTGCTGGGGCCACAGTGCTCAGGCCACATCAGACCAGCCACAGTGGTTCAACGTGAAGCAGGCTGGGAAGATAAATCAAGGCAGACACCCAGGAAGCCACACCTGGGGAAGGTTGCTTCTTCCTCTTAGCCCACTTCTGTGAGCCTCCTGCCTTCCGGCTTTAGCACGGGGCTTCCATCCTTCTGAAGGCCTCTCCATTTTTCTCTACACCACAGCACACGCACATCCTGCATGCGACAGGCGTCTAATAGGGGAGCAGGCACTGACAGCTTTTTTTCGTTCATGGGTGTCAGGGTGCCAGCCACCCTGTGCCCAAGGGGTGTGTTTGGAGGGGGGAGCAATAGAGAAGGGGTGGTGAAGATGTCCACTTTGGAAGCGAGGTGCACAGGTGAGTGAGAAAAGGTCGGTTAGAGCCGTGTGCCTCGGGCGACATGACTACTGTAAAAAGCCAATTCCGTATTTGTGTGTTTGTGCATGGAGAAGTCTAGAAGGGTACATAGTCAAAAATGGGGGTTACCTTGATGGGGAAAAGAGGTGGGTGAGGTTGAAAATATGAAGAGAAAAAAAAAATTAATTCTTATTTTCTGCTCCCGGAACCTTCACAGTTGGCCTCGAAACCCCATCAGGGCTGAGGTCTCATTCATGCCCTTCGTGCCATCCAGCTCTGTCTCGCTGAAGCCTGCAGGTCCCTGTGCTCTGGGGACACATGTGCCTCTGCTTGAAGAGGATGCGTCATGGAGATGCATGTCAGCAAGGCTGGCAGCTCCTCATCCAACTGCGAACAGCTCTGTGAGAACAGCCTTCACGACCACACCTGCCTAGAGAGCACTCCCTGTCGCCAGCACTTTCAGATGGTCGTGTGCCGGTGAGCTTGTTAAAGGTTCTGAAGAGTCCTGCACCAACCCCAGACTGGCTCAAACCACTCTAGTTTGCTCTTCTGTTGTGACAAATACCTTAACCAAAAGCAGCTTGGGGTAGGAACGGGAACCGCTTTCAGGTCACGGTTCCTCACTGAGGGAGAAGTCAGGGCAGGAACTCAAGCTGGAAGCAAAGCAGAAACAGCAGAGGGACGCTGCTTCCAGGCCTGTTCCTTCTGTCCCAAGACACATTTTGGAAAGTGTTCTCAATCAACTGCCGCCTACAAATGTCTGATCCCACTGGAGGCAGAGCGGGCATGGTGTGGCCAGTATTGTCTGCCCAGGTTGTGGTGTCGCACCAAGGATGGCAAAGTTTCTGTAGCACAGATGGCATCAGGCTACCCCCTGGGAGGGCATGCCCTAGGGATAGATGGTACCATTGTTGGTTAGCAAATGACACCTTTTGAAGGTCAGGTTTGAATGCCAGTCAGCCTAGCAGAGCTGGAGGATTCCAGGCCAGCGAGAGACCCCACCTCAAAAAACACCGTTGACCTCTGCCCTTGGCGAGCCTATACATGGAGAGAACAGATTCAAGGGGTAGACAGACACCAAATAGAGTGGGAAAGGGATGCATTAAAGTGATGTAGCAACTATTCCCCCACAGTTAACTCACACCCAAGCCCCTCAGCTCATCTGTGGATTTAGGGGAGCCTCTCTCCTTTGAACCCCTCTCTGGACCTCCAGAAAGAAGCAGAGCCTAAGGAGGGACGACCTCTAAGACACTGAGGAGAAAGACGACAGAAAAACCGTTGTCCCGGAGCAAAAACCTGCTTGAGAATACCCACAAGGCCCTGCGTCTCAGGCACGGAACTATTAGAATCGTCAAGCGTCTCCTGAGATTTTAAAGCGCTTTAAAAACAGGGGAGAAAAGCGAAGGAAGGAGGCGCACAGTTCGCGGGAACGAACTAGCAGGGGCTGAACTCCGTCCCTCTGGTCCGTCCACCATCCCTTCTTTCCCCTGGGCCCTCGCTCTTTTCTTTTCCAAAACCGACTGACAAAGCCAGTTAAGCTGTGCTTTGGAGCGGATCAAGGTCACCTGCCTTCCCAGGCCTCAGGTCCCCGGTGAGGCGGGTGCCCCGTCCTCCAGGTCCCCGGAGGCCCACAACACTCAGGCCTCGCGCCCGCCAATTAGGCCCTTATTTGATTTCTGCTCTATCCCTGCGAACCCCATTAAACCCAATTCCGCTCATTACTGCGACTTCCCTGCTCTCAGCGCGGTTCCCCCACTCCCGGCCCCGTGCGCCCCAAATCACCCCCACGTTTCTTAGGAAACCGGACTGGGAACTACGCTCTCCAGGAATTCCTTGACCGCCCCTCACTGGTCAGTCCTCTGCCGCAGCTTGGGTGGTGCCAGACTGGGAAATCTCCGTGTCCCTCCCTCTATCTCTCTGGAGAGAGCCTGTCCAGGTGCCAGTTCACGACCGCTGGGCTGTGTGATCTTCGGCGATGCTCTCAGCCTCTCTGAGTCGCTGTGTGCGTGTGAGACTGAAACCAGGGTCACTGGAAGCCTCTGAGAGGCTGCACGGTGCAGAGGGGAGGGCAGGGACTGAGGAACTGGAGCTGCAAGTCTAGAGTGCAAAATTAAGGACAAATTCAAATCTCTGCGGCCAGATAATCCATATCTTACCAACTGGAGAGGTGCCTGGCGGGGTGGGGGGTGGGGGTACTGGCAAAGCTTGAGGGAGCCCAAGGCTTCACCTCCCAAACTATAATAATAATAATAATGATAATAATAATAATAGTAAATACCCCACAGAAGTTTTAAGAATTTAAAGTACCAATTCAATAATGAAAACAAAAATGGAGACAGAATTTGAGATAAGCCAAGTGCAATGTCAGATATGCTCTTTTTGCTTTTTCTTTTCTTTTTTTCTGAGTTAGGGTCTCCTATCCCAGGTTGGTCTAGAACTTGCTATGTAGCCAAGAATAACCTTGAACTCCTGATTCTCCTGGCTTCACCTCCTAGTGATGTGTTAGGATTACAGGCTCCAGGCACACCCTGGGGATAGGACTCAGGACTAGTATATGTTAGAGCTGGAAGGATCAGCTGAGCCACACCTCCAGCTGCCCTTCACACTTCCCATGTTTTGTTTATGTGCATGCGTGTGTGTGTGTGTGTGTGTGTGTGTGTGTGTGTGTGATTTCAAGCTTTAAAATCATTGCCTCAATCCTAGCGTGACAGTAATCACCTTTAACTCCAGCACGTGGGAAGCAAAGGCAGGTGGATCTCGGTGAGTTCTAGGCCGCCTGGTCTACAGAGTTGAGTTCCAGGACAGCCGGGTTACACAGACATTAGCTGTGGCCACTTGCTTCACATATGTGAATAAGGCACCCAGTTCAAGCAGTCTGACTGACAGCAGCTGTTCCAACTACCGGCAAGTTCAAGGTCTACTCTGCTGGGTCCTAGCTGGAGGCTCCAGGACCTTGACAAACAGCCTTTACTTGCCGGAGGGAGTTAACAGAGGCAGAATGGCCAGTGCTTGTTTGCCACATGGCTAGAGGGTGGTTCCTGTTGCCATTGTAATGATTTGAAACAGCAGCTCTGACCTTGACTGTCCTTGGCAAGGCAAGGACCAGCAACAGGGGGTGCCCACCCCAAGTGGATTCCCCTCCCCCCACGTGGATTATGTGCTGGCATTGGAATAAGGAAGCCAGCAGCTAGCGGTGGCTGGCCAAACTGAAAGTATTGAAAGCAACTGGACTCGCTCCAGAATGAATGTTCCGCCCCACACGCGAAGACATGTTTGCAAAAATATTCACGGAATAAAACTAGGCGAGGTGGTCCATTACACTTTTGGTTACCAAAATGACTGAAAAATCTCCTTCTCTTTTTTCTTCTTTCTTTCCTTTCTTCCTTTCTTTCTTCCTCCCTTTTGTAACAGGGTCTGGAGTAGCTCAGTCTGGCCTTGAACCCAGTATACAGCTTAGGGGCTACAGGCCCAGACTACCAGGCTCAGTTTACCTGGTGTTGGGGGCCCAGGGCTCCATATACACCAGTAAACACACCACCAACTGAGCTATGTCCCTCGCCCAAACTGATTTTCTTTCTTTATTAGACACGGTCTCATATAGGATAGCCCAGGCTGGCTTTGAAGTGGCGGGCCTCCTGCCTCAGCCTCCCAAAATACAGGGATTACAGCACTTCTATGCTTGGCTTTCAAATTCTTTCAATTTAATCCATCTATAAAGCCCTTCCTCCAAGTGAAATGCCACTCACCTGTGGTCCCAGTACTGCCTGGGACATCTCTCAAGAGATGGGATGGGTCCTTTGTTCACACACCCTGCTCACACCCAAATTTCAGTACTAACTTCTAGAATACAGCAAACCCAAGGAGTCATCATGCCCCTGTTCCCCCAAACCCTGAAACTCTGCTGTCCACCTCCAGAATGGATTCCAGGCCTGCACTGCCAAGTTCACAGCAGTTTTAACTTTGCAGTGTCAATGTTTTCGGTTTTGTTTTGTATTGGTTTGTTTTTGTTTTGTGCCCATCACGCCTACCACCACTCTGTTACTGAAGGTTAATATTAATTTAAACCTGTTTATTCCGTAGACAAGGCAACTCCCACCCCATCCACTGTCATTCGGGCTAGTCAGCTCCAAGGAACCAGGGCTGGTCACGTGAACCCCCCACCTCCAGGCTTCTTCCCATTGCACAACCTCTTACCCAGATGTGCTTTGTTCTAGGAGCGCAGGAAGGTGAGCGAGTCAAAGCCTGCCATGCCAAGCAGTTCTGAGCCCACCAAGTTCCCTGACTCACACCCCCTTGGGCAAGCGTTGTGGAAACATCCCCCAAGTTGCCCCAGTTCCCAGGTGGTCTTAAAAAGGGAAGGGGATTTTTTTTTCCCCTCAGACCTCAAGAACAGAGGCGCTCTTACACACTTGCAGCAGGATTAGAGGAATGTGCTCTGCCTCCAGGCGGAAACAAAAGATGATACAGTAGGTTCAGGACAGATCGAGTTCAAGCGTCTATAATAGAGAACATCTCTTTTTCCCAACTCCACCTGCGCTCCAGCTCCAGAGGAAGAACTTCCTGTTCCAGTTAGGTGTCAGTTTCTAGGAGGCGACAAATCAAGGTGGGGGGAAGGGGCGGGGACTGCTGGAGTCCCTTTTCTCCCCTATCTTCTTTGCATCTCAGAGAGGAAGATGAAGAAATGCTTATAGCTGCTCCTATTTCTAGAGAAGATGTCGCCTTCACGCCCTCACTTAAGGTATCATTAACTTTACGACTTGCCTGGAAGAGGTGGGAGAACTGGCTGGATGAGAGGCCAGTTAGGATCCCTGTAGGGTGTGTCAGGCCCAGGGGCTGGCCGTGGCTAGCGTTTACTTACCGCTTTTGTTAAGAGCCTGTGTTGTGCTGGGTGCTGTACTGGTGGAGAGGAGGGCAAGCATAAATCACCCAGGGACATCCATCCATGGATGATTGGGGGCTGGCCAAAGCCCTCACATCTCTTTTCCTCCCTGTAAAACTTCATGGGCAGCCCATGGTGCCAGCAGTCCCCAGCAGTAGCTTTTGCATCTTGGGGACAGCCTCCATCAGCTGGGGAACTGGGTCAATGCATCTTATTATTACAGAGGAGTAAGGCTGTGTCTGGTTGAGTCAGGGCCTCTCATTCCTTCTCAGCCACTGGTAGCAGGGAGCACCTCTTGGGGAGGACCTGGCTTTGTGTCAGTGGACCGCTGCTGGGCAAGGCCTCGGGTCCTGGTGGCAGCCTGATGAGAGGTTTGAAGGTCAGTGAAGACGCCAGTGCAGACAGTTTCCCGCTTATAGGCTCAGGCAAGGTGATCGGATGTCAACAAGAAAACACTGAGCTGAGTCTCCCAAGCAAGACAGCAGCCTTAAGGACCAAGCACAGATCTGACTGCCAGGCTTCACCTGCCCTTTAAGATTTGGCAGATCTTGGATGCCTTGGGGAAACCAAGGAGAGCACTTTTGGATCTAGTCCCTTAAAAATACATGCCCACTCAAATAGGCAAACGCTTAGCATACATACTCTTCACACAGGTCCAGGGTGCGCCTGATCCCCGAAGCCCTTCCTGTGTCCCTTGGGAGACTTGTGTGCATTATCTTCATACACTCTCTGAAAAGAGTGGCGACCCAGAGGGGACACAGCTTATTCCAGGCACGCCATCAGTGAGGGTCAGGCCAGACAGGGACCTCCCACCGTACAATACTAGGGAAGCCATTTCAAACATTTGATGTGTGCTGTGCCATTGTAGGAGACACAATGGCAGACAAGTTTGACGCCCTCTCAGAGTTGCAAAGTGCAGCAGCCATGACGCCGATGCCCCTGCCCCCCTCCCCACTTTCTCATCCTGCTTTCTTATAGAACCCAGAACCACCAGCCCCATGGGTGGAACCAGCCACAGTGGGCTGGGCTCTCCCCCATCAATCACTGTAGCTCCACCCCATGATTGTCTAAGATGGCGTCTCTGCAGCCTTTCAAAAACCAAGTTGGAAAATATTTTAGTTAGGGTTTCTACTGCTATGCCCATGACCACGGCAACTCTTACAGGAAGCATTTAATTGGGGCCGGCTTACAGGTTCAGAGGTTTAGTCCATTATCCTCGTGGTGGGAGGCATGGCAGCATGCAGGCAGACGTGGTGCTGGAGGAGTTGAGAGTTCTACATCCGGGTAGGCAAGAGCTTATGATGCCATGAGCATTCAAGCCCCCACAGAAAGCCAACCATCCCATAACTTCAGCTTTGGGGCACAAGGCCAGGGGAGGTGTTCTGACTTAAGGAGCCTCCCTGTGTGCGTTTTGTGGCCGTGCTGTGAAGCATGGGAGCTAGGCTGCCTCGGGGTGCCAGGGGACTTTTAAAGCTCATGTTTCTGTCTTAAGAAGATGGGGCTGGCTTCTGGGAGTGCAGTTTAATTACATTCAGTTGGCTGGGTATTGCCAAAGGCTGTTCTGGGTCTTGCCAGCCTCACAGACCGAGGCATCTTTCCAGTGAATGTGTGACAGAGAGCAAAGCCATGTGGTAGCCCTGGCAGGCTATGATGCTGAGGCATCCTCCACTCACCACCGGCCCACCTGGACCAACGGTCCTCCAGGTGTGCAGGTGTCCTCCATCCCATCCTCTGGATGGGACAAAGGAGAGATCCCGAGTATCCGAGCTGGCCCAGAGAAAACAGAGGCACGGGACAATGACCTCACTCACCCAAGATCACACAGCTCGAAAGCAACCAGGGTATAGATGGACAATCGGGCCTGTGAGCCAGACATCCCGTAGGG